CCGCTGGTGGCTCATCCTCGTCGCCCGCTTCTACAGGGGCCTCTGTTCCGAGCAGTTCAAGGGCTCCCAACAGCTCCGGCGGCAGCAATACTGGGAGCACCAGCAATACTGGCACCACCGACGGCTCCAGCACGTCCACTGCGGAATCCGGCAATGGATCCAACACCACCACGTCGGCACCGAACCCGAGCAAGACCTCGGGCGCTGGCAAGGCGACAGCGTTTGCTGGCCTCGCCCTCCTTGCTGGAGTAGTTGCTGCGTTATTCTAGATCTGGGTCCTATTCCCTGGAGACGAGGAATTGTTTCTGTACATAGGTATTACGGCCGAAAGCGTTGTTCATTTGTGTCATTCAGTCTCTGAGGCATCCGGTGTAGTGCCGTCCTCGCCAACACCAGTCTTGGTCTTTTCTTTATACTACTTTTGCCCATCCGGACGGGCTGGATCTGTGGGGTCTTCGCATCATATAATATGGATACTGTAGACAGGAGGATACCGATACCATAGACTCAACGGGCAACACCATGTGTGTTTATCTTTCATGTGCAACCTCAGTTCTCACGACTTGTCTTACTGGTATGTGTATGAAGGTAATCAACACCCGCCTTGAAGCAATGAGACTGCGACTCCATAGCCAGAAAAGAAAAGAACAAACTGATATACATCAAAACAAAGCACAGAAACACTCATTACACCTGAAAAGCAATCAAGTCAACACACGCTACCACCTCGGCCAAATCCTCATGATTCACACGACTTGTTGGCATCAACTTCAAACCGGTACCACGGTCGTGGACACGGGCTGGACACCCATGACAACGTCTGCGTCGTCGACTATCTCGCGGTTGGTGTGCGCCAGGAAGCGCTCCTGCTCGTCGAGGAAGCGCTTGATGTCGCGCGTGGCCAGGGCAGTGCCCGACGCCCGCGCCGCCGCCAGCCGGCGCAGCTGCTCGCGCACCCTCTCGGCTACCATCTCCAGCCGGTACGTGGCGAACTGGTCGTACAGCTCCGGCAGCCGCGAGATGGGCCGCACCGTCGTCAGCACCGTGTCGTCCCGCACCGCCGCGCTCCGCGGCCGGTACGACGTCACCATGGTGATGCGCTCCACCGCCCCGACCGCCGGCAGCGCCGCGTGCTCAATGTACCGTCCCTGCATCACCACGCCGTGGCCCTAGGAGGAGTGTCAGTGGGTTTTGTCTCAGCCGAGCTGCGAGCGAGCTCCCCCAGCTCCCAGATAACAACAATAATAGGGGTAAGCACACAGAGGAATAAAAGGGGGCCAACCCACCATGTGCGGTCCGCGCACCTTAAGCACCTCGCCCGTGCCCGTGCGCAGCGCCGTCTCGCCGCCGACCATGCCGGCCGTGTCGCTAAGCATGACGACGCACACAAACGGGTAACTATCGCGGTGCCAACCGAGAATCGGCACCGCTTCCCCTCCCTTCCCACCCCCATCCCCATCACCACTAGCACCACCATCACAATACACCCTCAACTCACTCAGCTTCTGCTCCTCGGTCTTGAACGAAAGGTTCACGTGCGCGACCTCGTAATCGAACTGCACCGCCAGCTCGAGCCCCGCGACGGCCGACACGAGCGCCACCGTCGCGGGGTGCGTCCACGCCGCGTGCGTGAACGGCGCGTGCGCTGCGCTGTAGCCGCGCAGGTGCGAGTACGCAGCGATGTTCGATGTGTACTGGCAGTTCAGAAGCACCGGCTCGCTGAGGATCTCGGCGCGCATCCGTGCCACGGCTTCGGGTGTGAAGAGTGGGAAGGGGTCGGACACGGCGAGCGGGGACACGCCTGTGTCCGCTGGCAGGCCGATGTCCGACATGGTGTACACTTTGTGTGGTGGTGTGAAGTTGAGGTGCTTCTGCGGGTCGAAGCCGCCGGCCTCGCTGCTGGTGATGGTGTGTTTGGGCGTGCTGGGCTTGGTCTCGGCCGGTGCGGGTGCGGGTGCGGGTGCGGGTGCGGGTGCGGGTGCGGGTGCTGTCCAGGTTGCCATTGCTGCGGCCGAGGGCTGGAGGATCTGGGCGGTGGCCATTCTGGATGGATGGGTTGGCTGGCTGGCTCGAGGGCCGTATTTGTAGCACGGCGTGGGAGGTCTGGGGCGAGATACTCGGGTGTTATTGCTGTGATCCCTCCGAGGGCGGTCGTATCGCGGGCTTGGGGGCTGGACCCGTAGTTTGACGATCCCTCGCAGTTGGATAGTGGCACGGGCCTGACAAGCTGGGCCTCTTAATCTATGTAGTTAAGCAGCCTAGCGGAATGCGAGGAGCGGTGAGGAGGCCGGCCCGAGAATTACGCAGCAATGAGTGGAGGACTCGAGATTGTTGACGCGTGCCCCTAGGACGTGCGGACCTTGTGTGCTCCCGGGGCCTCGGAGCTTTTATCATTTTCGTCGACGCCGATCCTCGACAGAAGGAGGCCAGAGCCTGTCTTCCTGGGCCATGGCTCACGCCCGCATCACAATCGGCGCTGCTACCCCGGGGTAGCTAGTCCTGGACCGGCAAGAGGAGATGGCGGACCAGCCGGGCATGGCGCGAGACCAATAGTGTGCAGGCCCAGAAGCACTGTGGCGGCCCGAGAGTGCGTGGTCGAGGGGTCTTTGATAATGGAAATCAGAGCAAGCCCCGGCACGCACCAATGGGCAGAGTGCCGGTGTGGGCGTCTTGATGCTATCGCCGACTGCAGTCATGCCGGCGACTTTCGGCGTCTGGCGGGGCGTCGTGCGGTTGGCTGGCCGGCGGCTAGTCTCGAGATAAGAAAAAGACGACAATCACGCCCAGGTGACACGGCATAAGCATCCAGCAGTAGCGAGCCTTGGGCGGGCGCTCTGCACTGTGCTCTGCAACTGGCGAGGTCCATGTCCATCATCACGGGGCATGGCTCGGACAGCAGAGTGGTTGACACGAGAGAGGTCGTCTCGTCCCAGCCAAGGTTGAGAGACTGAGAACCCCTTTCCGACACGAGTCTGGGCCGAGTCCGGAAGCGGCGGCAACTTATGTCCAGTCAGAATCCAGGCAGGGCGGCCGGAATGGCCATGCGGGTTCCCCGCAGTCCGCCATCCGGGCAGGCTGCGGGCCGGTAGCGGAGATAAAAGGAACACTGCCAATCCGTCACCACACCATCACCACACAGTGGATAATGCGCGTCGCGTTCCGTCATCAGAAGGCCAGGCATAGATACCGGGCTTGGCCACTCGGCTGGGCCTAGCATGGCTCTTGCTTATCGGGAGCCTGCCAGCTGCGCAGCGGGAAGCGGCAGATGGAACCTGGGTCAAGCACGCAGGCGGCTGCCGTGATAAAGATAGCGGTTCCGTGATGGCGAAAGAAGGCAGCTTCCCCGCCGCTACCACCTTAGCTGCTCTGTCTGGGGAAGAGCTGTCCGCGTCCATGCCGGGCTGCTCACAACAGCAAATCACACAATAATCCAGCAGCAAGTCGGTATCGAAAGCCGTCGTATCCGTTGCTGAGTTGGGGTAAGGTGACAGCGCATTGAGAGACTAGAAAGCTTGAGGAAAGGCGCAAAGTGCGTGCCGTGTCTGAGCCTCGACCAGGAACACCTGAAGCCTGGGCTACCTGTGCTTAAGAACGCGAACGAATGATGTGCTAGCCAAACAGAGAGCAGCAGGTCTGATTAAACGTAATGATGAATGAATCCATGTCTAAAGCAATCCGGGTGCGCGGGCCGGCCCTTTCAGGGGCGTCTTATTGGACTATTCGTTTCTAAGTCAAGATATCTAGACCACTCCACGAATGTGTATTGGCTGTGAGAAATTGGTTTCTGACTATCCCGGCAATGTTTCATGACGGTTCACGATAGACACAGTACACGTGCAGATCTGAGACATGCAGCTGTGGAACCCAGCCCGAGGAGCACGGCAGAGACGTCATCGTCCGAACCGTCGCCTCCTACGTCATTGGTCGGCGCTGGACCCGGCAGTATACCATTCCCCATCGAACCGGCCACCACCACAAATCCCAAAGCAACGCAAATAAACAACCCCTGATTTCCCGACTAGTTCTGCCAAGCATCAACAAGCACCAACCTCTATTAGGCAAATCACCCGGCGCGATCAACCCCATCATGTCAGCCCAAGACCCGTCGGGACCGCCGCAACCGCCGCAACCGCCCAAGGCCGCCGCCTACGCCCTCGCCTCCAACCCCGTGTCGCATACCGCAGACGACTTCGCCGTGGCCGACACTCCGGGCACGAGCGGGTTTGGTGGGAGCGGTAGCGACTACATGAGCTATCGCTCGCACAAGAACCCGCCACCAGCACCACCAACAGCAGGCTACGAGCACGGCGTGCACGGCGGGCGGCCCGCTAATGCGCGCGAGGCCCGCGAGACGGGCTACGCGTCCGACTCTCGTGGCGGGCGGCAGAACGACAACGAGGACGCCGAGCAGATGGCACCGGCCGGCGAGGGCGCCGTGGCCCACGCCGTCGAGCGCAGGACGAGAGGGAGCGCCGCCGCCGCCGCCAGCCACACGCGCGGCGAGAGCTCGCCCCACGGCCGCGTCCGCGGCGAGGTCACGCTCGACGGCGACGAGGCTGGCGTGGAGAGGTGAGTTTATTACAAAAAACATCGCAGTGTATAGAAATTAGGAGCAGTTACTCGTAGAGATATAATGCTGACACTGCCACCTCGACCGCTAGGAAAAAAGCACAGCAGTCGCTCGCCCGCGAGCAGGTCAAGGCCGCGCGGCGCGAAGGGAAAGACGTCGACGGACGGGGCGAGGGCAACTTTGCCGGCCGGCAGCCGCACGCCGAGATAGACTAACAGGCAGGGGCTGGGAGAGACGATATTGCACCCAACTCTGCTGAAGGGACGGACCATGGAACGGACAGGGAAGGATTGTAAAACAAGTCTGGGCCACGCCTGTCTCGGTTCGTAACCAGAAAGAAAAGACAGACCCGAGAAGGAATAAACAAGTAAAAAATACCAGCGATTATTCACTACACCACCGCCGCAGATGGCAGCAAAAATATAGACTTTGACAAGAGTGGGATTCGAACCCACGCCCTTTCGGACCACGGAATCATGTGGTGTGATATAAGCCACACCCTGGATTAAGGATTGGAACTCCTTAACGTGGCGCCTTAGACCGCTCGGCCATCTTGCCTGATGCTTGTTTGATGGAGAGGATGTGTGGAAGTGCGTGATTTAAGACGGAAGTGGTGGAGCTTGGCAAGTCCTTTTTTTCCCCCTCGAGGGCTCGTGTGCGTGCGGCGGGGACGTGCATCTATCTCCACTCCGTTCAGACTTTTAAGTTGCGGGTTCTGGTGGTTGACGGTGAGAGGTGGCAGGGAACCCCTGTCTTGGGTGTCTTATTCCAACTGACAAGAGATCTCGTTGCTAGGTGCGGACTCAACAGCAACCTGACGTAGTTGAGCCGTATTAATACATTGCAATAATGGAACAAGCATTCGATCTGGTTTAATTACCTGACTTCCAAAATTTGCTCTTCTGGTGTGAGCCTCCGACAATGTCTACTTGGCCCGACTCACCTCTCGGCTTGCAGGGAGTTATTAGTTCCGTACTTTGCAACCTGGCAGAAGAAGTCGCCCGCTTACAACTTTTGCTGGCTTCCCTTTCTTTTTCCTCTATACTTCAAATGTTACCTAATAAGCAGGGATTCACCACCATGGCGACCCCTGCTCTCCCGCCGGCTTGAGACTAGACTCATCACGACACGACACAACGCGACGCGCTTTCGAACAAGACGTCCACGGCAGTTCAACCAATCCATCGCCGACAACAACACTAAACCGGAATGCTAACAAAATATAGGAAATATAAAGGTCTTCTGAAAATGGCGCCGGCAAACAAACCGCCGGCGGCTAGAGCTCCGATCTCGATCGCCACGGCACCCGAGAGCCACATCCGCGTCGTGCTGCGCTGTGCAGCAACGATGATGACACGCGCCGACGCGTCGCCAAGCTGCTGCTCCAGCTGCGCAACTTCCCGCCGCCTGGAACAAAGGCGGCGGCGGCGGCGGCGGCCAGCAAAAAACCCAGCCTGCTGCTGCTGCTGCTGGCGCGACCGCCGGCGTCAAGCGGGCCAGGCCTGCCGACGACGACGACGATGTCGTTCGCGCCGGAAAGAGCGCGGTGCGCTTCTGCACACGGTGTGAGCAGGTGTTTGCCGAGAGCGAGAACGTCGGCAAGAAGCGCCAGTGTCGGTTCCAGTGAGGCAGCTTGTGCTCCCCTTTCTTTTCCAATTAGAATTTCTGAATCCTTTTTGACACGTCCCCTCCTAACCGGGCCCACAGAGCTGGCCGAGATCGAAGAGGACGCGCCCATCTGGTACGAGTACGACGCGCGGTTCCTCGGCGACCCGGACACGCCCAAGAACCTGCGCAAGCACCCGCAGGGCTTCACGTACCCGTGCTGCGGCAAGCGCGCCACGTGGAAGGGCTGCGCGACCGGCCGCCACCGCGCCGCCTACGACGGCCACGGCGAGCCGCCCCCCTACGCGAGCAGCGACGACGACGAGGGCGAGCCGGACGAGGTCATTGAGATTAGCGACGACAATGACGATGAGGTCAAGGGGAAGACTGCGGCTGCCGTTCCTGGCTCGGCTGGCCCGGCTAGTGTAACTGGCCCGACTGGTGCTACTGTCCCGGCTGCCGTCCCTGTCCCAACTGGGCCGACTGGTGTCACTGTCCCGCCCGAGGGAGCTGTGGTCGCCCCGGTTGACCAGGCCGCCGTCCCCGTGCCGGACGCTGTGCCGGCCGCGGTATGATTGATTGCCCTGAAAGTTGTCGCTTCCTGGAGTAATGCTCTGCGCTGAACGTGTATCATCATGTATGTAGCAATGAGGTAATGGTTGATTGCGCGAATATTGTGACTAGACACTCGAGGACACTGGATGAGGTTGAGGTATTGCTGCAATGTGTCTGTGAATGAAATCAGCTTCGATGGAGGTCCAATCACTCGGCCGGCCCAGGAACTACTTCTCACCATCCTCCCATTCCTGGTTCAGGAAATTGCAATGTTTTGTTTCAGCGTTGCGCTTTCACATTCATCCCCCATAACTAGTGAGCCAAAGTATCGATTAGAACTAATACCACAAAAGGGATGTGCTCAGTTATAAATACTACCTGTCTGGCCTTGTTGCTTTGTTTCATTATTATGATAATTTGCCATTCAATGAATCAATAACGTTAACTATATACCCAAATATAAATGTAAACTCGTCTATAGAGCCTTGCCCCCGGACACATTTTGAGTTAAATACCAGCCCTGATAATGGCCACATACTCCAACAGTTACGTTGAACCAGCGGGCCCTTCCTCGTCATCTCATTTCAACCCGATTCGTTTGCTACGACTAGTTGAGACGGAGAATCGACAGCCCGCACGGGAGAACCATGTCGTCCGGGTTCTTGTCATTCACAAAACTAATAGAAATCTCCTGCAGATCCGCGTCGTCCTCGACAATGATGGCGCGCGACGAGGCATGGTGGCCGTTGGCCAGAAAGTTCGGCGCGCGCTCGTCATCGGCCTGCTCGACGGCTCGCGCAATCAGGTCGGCGACCTGGGACTTGAGCTGGCAAGACGCGAAAATGGGGCTCGCCTCGACCGTCTCGAGCACCACGCGCTTCTCGTGCCCCGAGCTGATGTCGCGCAGCGCGTGCTCTAGCGTCCGTGCCGAGAGCGTGTAGGGCGACAGGAAGTCCTCGTGCGGCCACTGCGTGTCGGCCAGCTTGTGCAGGAAGAGCACGATCCCCGCCAGCGCCTGCGTCAGCAGGACCGCGCGCTCGTGCGGGCTGAGGCTAAGCAGCATGGTGCCCGATTCGGCCGTGCTGCAGTGCAGGCTCTGGTCGAGCAGCAGCCGCTCGCCCGGGCCGAACGTGGCTTCGAGCACCCTCCCGAGAAGCGAGCTGTCGGTCAGCACGCTCGCGCTGTCCCGCATGTTGAAGATCTGGACGGCCTTGGCGAAGAAGTTGGGCATGATGTCGCGCATGTCAACGCCGGCCAGCTTTCGAGCGTGGCCAGTGTCGACGGCGAAGTATTCGGCGGCCGTGTCGGCGCAGACTGTGGGGCATTATTAGCCATTGGTTTGCCCATCGGGACTGAAAAAGGGGCCGACTTACATCGCGTCGCAACCAAGGCGGAATTTCTCTGCGCCGCTGCGAACGCCGACTTGACGCTCCTTTCCCGCAGGTTGTCCAGCGTCGCGGTAGCAAGCGCGTGGAAACTTGTCGAGCCGAGGCCGTCGTCCTCGACGTCGCTGCGGCTCGCAACGCACACCCTCGGGATCTTCTTTATCAGGCTCCGCGACTCGACGTCGTCCCACCTCTTGCCGATCTGCTTCGCGAAGCGCTTGGCCGTTAGGTCGCGTAGGATGTGCGACACGGCGACCTTGGACAGCCCGCGGTGGTCGGCCTGGCGCGACCAGTCCAGCTGCACCTGGCTGACGAACTCGTCATACTTTGTGAAGACGAGCACGAGGGGCGTGTGGGCGGCGAGCGACGCGAGGTCGCGCGTGAAGAAGCGCTCCTCGAGAGCGTGCACTGGGCGGTCCTCCTCGCTCGCGACGCAGTACCAGATGCAGTGCACGCGGCTCGGCGGCGCCGAGTTGCTCGCGAGGAAGTCGCACACGCGGCTGTAGACGCCCTCATCGTCGGTGCCAAAGTTGGGCGATGTGTAGATGGCTAGGCGCTCGTTCTGTCCCTGCAGGTCAAGCTCCTTCTCGATGTCGTGCGCGCTGCTGAAGGCGTCTGCGACAAGTTTCTAGTGCCGGGGAGAGGTCAATGTTGGCTTAGTCTTGGGTGATGGCCGGCCAGGGACATAGAGACGACGCACTCACTTTCTCTAGATCGACCCCAAAGATGCTCGAAAACAACTCCTGCTTTGTTGACTCGGGGTTTCCGAGCACGAGCACGCCAAACTTTGGACAAGGAGAGAGAAATTCGGATGAGCTGGAGAGGGTTGGGAGGGGGTTCGGGTTGCTGCTGCCAACGTTGTCCGTTGCAGTCGGTTGGTTCATAGCCATGGGCACGATACGGTAATTGGCGAATTGCGAGATGTGATTTTTCTGAGTATTTGACCTGATTCTGGTATTTCCCGTGCTCCTTCTCTGGCAGGCGCGGCCGGGCAACTTTATTAGAAGGGGCAACGTAAGGATCTGGGCGGTGCGGTCATCCGTCCTGCACCTGTGGCCTGATGACGCCACTACGCCGTCAGCCCGGGTCACATCAGGCCACTCGCTTCTTTTGGCGATGGACTGCGCCAGAAAATTATTGGTTGGCATTCTATTTACTGGAAAACGATAACTTCCATTGCCACGGGAGAAGCCGGTCAATCCATCGCGATTCTCCGTCCGGCACGCCATTTCTCGTGCAGACACCTGCGGTTGAGGCCCACATGGCTGTCGGCGTTACACAGCTGGACCGGCCCGTCACACACATCATGCACGTTGCCATTGAAAGGGCTGTTGTTCGTCTATGGTATGTATCCGTCCGCAGTTTCCACCTGGTTCTTGAGGTAATTAACTGGACCAGTTCTGTCTGTTCACTGTTGCTGCAACCTCCAGGAACTCCTTTTCTCGTCTCAAAGGCTAAAAGTGGTCATCTTGCGTTGTGCCACGAGCTACGAAATTAGGGAAGTAGCGTGTTGGGCTGCACGTGTAAATCTGGTATCAATATGGACCTAGATACATGTGTTCGGTGATCTTGACGAGAATAAAACAGAGGACCGCAAATATCATCAACCGACATCTCTCCCAGCTGTGCCGACTGGTATTACAGGGGAATCAATAACGAAACAGGTGCACAAATGTGTGCGGGTACTTTGAAAACCAGTAAGACAAATACTCGGTTCCTAAGACACAACTATCCGCAGGCCACCGGTCGCAACTATGTCGTTGAGTGACTGGGCAGAATGGGATTAACCTGCACGTCAGGGACGGCCTTGCTCTTCTCGGGCTCGCTCGTGTCCGACGTCTTGGTGGCCGCGCTCTTTTCCGGCTCACTCGCATCAGACGTCTTGGTCGCCGCGCTCTTCTCGGGCTCGCTCGCATCGGACTTCTTGGTCGCCGCGTCGGCCTCGGGATCGTGATGGTCACTCGCGTGTGTTTTGGGTCTGAAAGAAAGCAATTAATTGATCAGTACACGCTT